ATTACCCCACCAACTTCAGTGGGGGGTCTCACACAAACACAGTGCCCACTTGCACAGAATAACTTGCAAAACTGTGGCCTCAATTTGCAACTTTGTGTGCCAAAAATAGGCTAATTTGACATCAATGATTATATGTACGCGTGTTGTTTGTACTGTCAAATTTGAGTCTGTGCATAACACTAAATCCTGCCATGGGTGCAGGGAACTGGACTAGATGATCTTTTATGGTCCCTTCAAATCCTATGATTCTATAATAATTGTATTAGCAAATAAGACATTTGGCCTAGAAAGTTTTAGAGATCTGCAAAAATAGTCCCGTCCCCCCACGTATTTGTGTATATATGCACACTAGGAATCTGACTACTGCATATATATTCACACAGAATTGTACTCATATAAATATTTTGTAAACAATAACCTTAGCATCAGAAGTGTTGGGAATTTAAGGGCACGCTAGATCTAAATGTAAAAATTGCATCCCAGAGAGCAGCAGGCATTGGGATGTTGATATTTCAGTTTTTCAGGATATCAGTCATCTGCTGTTCACTGTTGCCATTTTTAAGCCTTTGTTATTTTTATGAATCCCTGCTTCACTGAAGTTTTTTGACTTTGTAGTTAAGTCTGAAACTAGAAGAAATAATGTAATGATGAGTGCACATTTTTTTTTAAAAGCCAAGAGCAACATGGAAAGAAGAAATACATATAACATATAAACAAGTCTGGGGATTTTAACTGTTGTTTTATATACATTACAGGTCCTCCTGCTGGTGGATGTTTCCATTTAATTTTAGGTTTGCATACAGTTTAATATCTGTCACTCAAGAACATAAGAACATACATAAGAACGGCCGTACTGGGTCAGACCAAAGGTCCTTCTAGCCCAGTATCCTGTCTACCGACAGTGGCCAGCACCAGGTGCCCCAGAGAGGGTGGACCGAAGACAATGATCAAGCGATTTGTCTCCTGCCGTCTCTCTCCAGCCTCTGAAAAACAGAGGCCAAGGACACCATTTTATCCCCTGGCTAATATCCTTTTATGGACCTAACCTCCATGAAATTATCTAGCTTCTCTTTAAACTCTATTATAGTCCTAGCCTTCACAGCCTCCTCTGGCAAGGAGTTCCACAGGTTGACTACACGCTGTGTGAAGAACTTTTATTTGTTTTCAACCTGCTACCCATTAATTTCATTTGGTGTCCTCTAGTTCTTCTATTTAGGGAACTAATGAATAACTTTTCTTTATCGGCCCTCTCCACACCACTCATGATTTTATATACCTCTATCATATCCCCCCTCAGTCTCCTCTTTTCTAAACTGAAAAGTCCCAGTCGCTTTAACCTCTCCTCATATGGGACCTGCTCCAAACCCCTAATCATTTCAGTTGCCCTTTTCTGAACCCTTTCCAAGGCCAAAATATCTTTTTTGAGGTGAGGAGACCACATCTGTATACAGTATTCAAGATGAGGGCGTACCATAGTTTTATACAGGGGCAGTAAGATATTCTGGGTCTTATTTTCTGTCCCTTTCCTAATAATTCCTAGCAACCTATTTGCCTTTTTGACCGCCGCTGCACACTGCGTGGAAGTTTTCAGAGAACTGTCCACGATAACTCCAAGATCCCTTTCCTGATTTGTCGTAGCCAAATTAGCCCCCATCATACTGTACATATAGTTGGGGTTATTTTTCCCAATGTGCATTACTTTACACTTATCCACATTAAATTTCATTTGCCATTTTGCTGCCCAATCACTGAGTTTGGTGAGATCTTCTTGGAGTCCCTCTCAGTCTGCTTCTGTCTTGACTATCCTAAACAGTTTGGTATCATCTGCAAACTTTACTACCTCACTGCTTACCCCTTTCTCCAGATCATTTATGAATAAGTTGAAAAGGATTGGTCCCAGAACTGACCCTTGGGGTACACCACTAGTTACCCCTCTCCAATCTGAAAATTTACCATTTATTCCTACCCTTTGTTTCCTGTCTTTTAACCAGTTTGCAAACCAAGAAAGGACCTTCCCTCTTATCCCATGGCCATGTAATTTACACAAGAGCCTTTGGTGAGGGACCTTGTCAAAGGCTTTCTGAAAAGGAGTTCTGTTAGTTGACCACACTGAAGGAAGAAATTCACATCTACAAGAAAGAACACTAGGCTGATCAAGATTAACAGGAGAAACGTCTTAGCTTTTATGATCCATATTGGTCATTGTAGCTTGGTGACCCCATCTCAAAAAATATATATTGGAATTGAAAAAGACACAAGAAAGGGCAACAAAAATTATTAGGGGTCTGGAACAGCTTCCATATGAAAAGAGGTTAACAATACTGGAACTTTTAATCTTGGAAAAAAGATGACTAAGTGGAGATATCATAGAGGTCTATAAAATCATGACTGGTGGCAAAAATAAGTAAGTTATTTATTCCCTTTCATTACATGAGAAGTACGGGTCACCAAATGAAATTAATAGGAAGCACGTTTAAAACAAAAGGAAGTATTTCTTTACAATACAGGCAGTCCCCAACTTACGCGGATCCGACTTACGTCAGATCCGCACTTACGAACGGGGCTTTCTCGCCCCGGAGGGCACTACTGGACCAACCCGGCAGCACCCCAGCTGCTCTGCCCCAGGTCCTGATTCAGCTGCTGCTGGTCAGTTTCAGCAGGGGCTGAATCAGGACGCCTGGGGCAGAGCAGATGGGGGGGTGCTGGGGTGGGCC